AACATTGGTTTTGATGAAATGGACATTAATGATGTAGGAACACTTCTTGACTCTCACAGGGAGTCACACAGTGGGATGAACATTACAGATACCTGTACTGATGAATCGCCAGCAGAAAATTCTTTTTGTCTTGGGAACATTCCAAAGATTGTCAAGGTAATTGAAACTTACAGTGAGCCCAACCAAGACAGGTGTGTTGCCCTGCTATAGCGAGATGCTTCAAGAAAGGCTAACAAAACCAGGATAAATGATTCCTGATATTTTCTTTAAAAAGTCATCTAACCCAGAGTCACAAGAACCAGTGTCAGGTCCCTGGCAGCTCTCCCCTCAACCAGCATCTACCACACACCATTGTCAACTTAAGAGTGAAGGCAGTGGTGGTAATCATCTAGATACAACCTCAGTGAAGTTTAACCAAATGTTTATTTTCCTACTTTACATTTAAGGTTTTATTTAATGTTCAACTTTGTCATGTACAGAGGCTGCAAGAGAGCCGCCACCAGGTAATCACGACTAACCCACAGGGTAAAATGGAGCCAAGGATGAACACTGATAAATAGAATCTTGGCTCTAAGATTCAATACTGATACTGTACACATAATTTTAGCTCCAATATTATTCTATATTTCCTATTATTGGTTATCAAGACTACTTGGATCAACACGACATCACACCTTAAAATCTGACGACTCCCCTGACCTCCCCACCTCTAAAACATATCACCTTATCATTACAACAGTATGTAAGTACAGTACAGTCGAAATCAAAAGTTTGCCAAAAAATCCCCAGCCAGCATTATGTTTTTGTTCATTACGCATGGATGACACTCTTTCCGTCAGCATGTGGAGATGCTGTGCTTTTGTGACTAGACTGCAGATCAACCATTGGTGGAAATATTGCCATATATGTGTTACGAAGGTTATTATAATGTTGGCTGGGGATGTTGGGTAAACTTTGGATTTTGACTACACAAGAACTAGCACAGGACAGATGCATCTATAAATTGATGATAATTTTTACTGAATTTGATGAATAAAGTTCTAAGTTTAAAAAAGATTGTTCTTATTTTCTACAAAGACACACCACATTGCCTTGTGGATAAAGGTGATGAGGATAAAATCAGCATATAAAATGTTTTTTAATTCTCTCTCCAAAACTGACATTATATAATACTGTACTGTACAGTATATTTCATCCTGTATACAAAACAAAACAGACAAAACATTACATTTTGTGCAGGAATGTATGGATGTTGTTGGTCTTCACTCTTAATATATTCATTAGCTACAGATCATTCCCTTCCTATAAAATGTTAATATCCAGTACAGTATATACCTGGTGTTATATCCAGTACAGTACATTAAAAATGGGAACATGTGTAAGTTCTTCAGCTATCAGTTTATAATACTGTACTGTACACAACTGGTGTTATACACAGTACATAAGTGCAAAACCCAAGCCAAGGCTAATTATAACAATACTGGCAGTGAATTTAAGTGTAAGTATTTATTCCTTCAACATTTTATTAATTTTTCTATTACAATATCTCCACACAATTCTTACCCCTCAGTACTGTCTCCTCTAACTCATTTAACCCCTTGTGTATGGGGTTGCCTCTCAGCTGAATAAAATCACTCAACATTAGCTAAATAAAATATATTAACACTTTAAGGGCCCCACGGGGCACATGCTGCCACCAACCACGGTGGGCAGGGTGTAAATATTTGTATTTCATTTTCATTTCAAAGCATTACTTACCAGACCACAGACCCACAGGGCAGTTATCCCAACACCTCACATCCTCCACAGTTATGCAGTGAGAATGGGAAGACAGTGGCAGGCATTTTGAGACTTGAACCATAAATATCAAGCATAAATAGATTTTTTACTAGTTTTTGAAGTTGATCATCATCGGAACACTAACAGGAATTTTTTGACTGGAAAAATAGTCGTCATTGGTCAGCCAAAGTGTTAAAAGTGGTGTCCCCAAAGTGAAGTGTTTAAGTTTAGTCACTCAACCTGCTGAACCACACACATGTTCCAGGAGAAACATCCTGGAGTAAACTGGATTTATTTATTATTGTTTAACTAAAGACTTCTTAAATTACTATGATTTTACTTTTAAATAAAACCCCGCAAGCAGTGTGTGGTGATTAATGGCACGAAATCGTCATCTGTACCTGTCACAAGTGGGGTACCAGAGGGCAGTGTATTGGGCCCGCTGTTTGTTTGTTTGTTTCGTAAATGACATGCCTGACGTTGTACACTCCATACAAATGTTTGCCAATGACGCCAAGTTATTTCGGGAAATTAAGAACCAAGCAGACTGTGAAGAGCTGCAGAAGGACCTCTGTGGGCTCCAGGAATGGTCGAAGAAATGGCTACTGAGATTCAGTGTCACAAAGTGTAAGAGGATGCACCTGGGGCGTACCAACGGTAAGGAGGCGTATTATATGTCCCAACGGGATGAAGAAACTGCACTAGTTCAGACTGAATGTGAGAAGGACCTGGGTGTGTATGTTGACAATGAGCTGAAGTTCTCGGGCCATTGCGAGAAGAAGGTAAATCAGGCAAATAAATTATTGGGTCTTATAAGAAGGTCGTTCAGATATCTAGACGGTCCGTCCCTCGTAACGATCTTCAGGAGTGAAGTGCTTCCCCATCTGGAATACTGTCACCCCGTCTGGTCCCCGAGATATACTAGGGACTGTCAGTTGGTTGAAAATGTGCAAAGGAGGGCCACCAGACTGGTGCCTGCACTTCAGCACCTCAGCTACCCTGAGAGATTGGAGCGCCTGAAATTGCCTAGCTTATACTACAGATGGGCAAGGGGGGACCTAATTGAGGTGTGTAAGCATCTCAGGAGGCACTACTCAGTTGAGTGTCCTTACTTGGAGCTGGCGGACGCTCGCCCCACAAGGGGTCACAGCTCAAGATTGAAGAACCTGCAAGTCCAGAAAACTGTGAGGGCAAACTTTTTCAGAGTGAGGGTTGTGAACTCTTGGAACAATCTACCAGAGTGTGTTGTGACGGCACCGAGTGTGAGCTGCTTCAAGACCAGACTTGACCAACACTGGAGCGGGTTCAGGTACATTCAGGAGCCGGTGCATGCCCAGTATTTGCCAACAGTGCGTGACAAACGTGACCGATCGCTCGGGCGGCTAATGAGCCGATCAGTGGTGAAGAGGATAAAAGTTATGATACAAATAAATACAGTACCTCAACACCTGTTTAAAAAATTAATAAATCATAATCTATCACACCTAAAAACTGTTATTCTTCATAATTTAATGTACGGTATTTGTTGCTCACACTGATGATGCTTTGCTAAGGGAAGTGTTCAACACCTACACTGTTGAGGACACCGCTCTTAATACTGTACATATTTCATTTAGCCAACGTAATTTATTTATCTGCGAGGGAAACTCATACATGTGGAGTTAGCTGTACTGACTTACCCTGAAATATATGTAATAAACTAAGTAGATGAGGAGGGAGACAGGATACTTGTGTGAAGGACATGTGTGTAACAACCATTACTGTACAAACAGTCCTGGGAAATAATTAGAATTGCCATTTGAATACAACACAAAGCAAAACTGGTTTATAAAGTTTTTGAAGCTGCTGTGGCCTAAATGCATTTTTAAATGTTTTTTCACACACCACAGGGTCAGCACTCCTGTACAATGGGTGAGTAATGTGGTGTAATAAAACTATAAACGGGTTTGTGTAGATAGTGATTACAGTGTGGGTATTCAATGACAAAGAAAATTATTACTTTTTAAATCTCATTACTTGGCAAATCATATTAAATGAAACCTAATCCTGCAGACATGTAAATAGGACTCTTACTCTTATCAATCCACACACAGCAAGATATGAAATAAAGGTTACCCGGTATCCCTCAAGCACCATCTTCCACTAAATTTAATTCTCTAACAAATTTATTATGTCCATGTTATGTGAAATATCCAGTAGTTAATTATATGACAACCACCACTACTGTACTGTACTGGGGTCTTCCATCTACCACTTAACCACTACTTTACTTACATTATTTCAGGCTATACTGTAGCTCGTCTCCTATTTACATAGTACGTATATCATTATCTACAGATTTAACTACCATAAGTAATTGGTCAAAAAAATTTAATACAGTGGTCCCTCAGTTAACGAACACAATTCATTCCAGAAGGTCATTTGTTAACCGAAACCATTGTTTCAATGGGATTTTGGGTAATTGGTTCCAGCTCACCAAAAATTACATACAAACTAAAAATAAATGCAGTAAAGTACACTTACTTTGAGGTGTGTATGTAGAAGGCTCCTGGTTGATGATGATGAGAATTAGAAGTGGGGGTGGAGGAGAAGGGAGAAGAGAAGGAAGTGGGGGTGGAAGAGAAATCACCCCATGCTTCATGCTGTCATTTCATCCATAAAATTTAAAGGTCACTTGGTGTAATTCAAGATTATTTTCTTTAAATCAACACTGCACTATATATTGTCAAAATGTAAAATAAATTTCAGAATGACCAATAATTGTACTGTAAAAATAGTTTGTTCAAGAGTCTCAAGCAAGATGCTTCCTCCACTGAGCAGACACACAACTGGCGCCATTCTGGGCGAGTCAAGTGGCTGTTTGGCGCGCTAAAAACTAGTTCCCTGTACTTCAATTATGTTAAATAATTGTTAAAATTACTAAAAAATTTAATATAAGACTTGGAAAATTATTGAATAGTACAACCTTCTTGATATTTACTCAATTGGTAACGAATTTAAGCCCTAAAACCGATTACTGTATTGGCGGACTAATACTACAGCAGACGAAAGCAGGCGAAAACATGTTGGGAAAAATTCGTAAGGAATTCGTTAACCGAATTGAACATTCTTATGGAAGGTAATTCGTTAACCGAGGGATCACTGTAATTAATTACCCAAAGTGATTAAATATTACCTTGTAGTTTTTGTAATAACTTTCACTGTGTGTAATAAAACCCACCTTCCACTTGATTAACTTTATACAGAGCAATAACAAAAGATTGTAATTATACAAAATCCCTAAAAATCAATTGAATACTAACTAGGATATAATTATTGGTCCTATACTCCCGGTAACTTGCCCAGTTTTTGTGTTGCTGCTAGTACATTCTCATTCATCATCATCTGCAGTTCCTGGAATCTTTCAGAGATGCGCTGCGTTACCTGTTGGGGTCAAGATGGTAAGTTGTACAGTACGGGTAATAAATTCAGGATATTGCATTGAACTTCATAATTTATTTAAAGTACATTACATTATTCTCTATGGTGCCATTTTATTTGAGATATAGATAGATATAGATAGATATAGATATATATAGATATAGATATAGATATAGATATATATATATATCCCAATGTGGGTCAGTGACCTATGCCCAGGTGGGCTAATCCCCATAAAAACAACAACAAAGCCGCGGGAAATTAAGGTTTGTTTACATCCAGCAGTTCGGCTGCTCTCTCTCTCTCTGCTTGTCTATACAGAGTACAACATTTAACCCTTCAATATATATGAGCAGTAAATAAGTGTGGCTTTCATATTCTTATGTAGAGTAATGACGATATGTTTTCACATGTGCGCACTTACATAGACGCAGTCTCACTTTTTTTTACCATTAATGGTTAGCTACTTATATTGTTCCATTTATTAACATTAAATAACGTTACAGGTACTTCAAACAACCATATTAATTTTTTTACATTAATTTTACTACAGCTACAACCAAGGTCTTATTTTCTTCAGTTTTATATGTAGAACCAGTCAGTCACTGGTTTTGTAAGCTTTAACATAAACAATGCCGGCAGCCGTCTCGTCTCTAATATTTCACGTATTATTAATAGATTGTATTGTTAATTTTGCACACACAAACATTAATTCAATAAAAACAAATTCAGAAACATTAATTAAAATATATATGAACAGTAAATAAGTGTTGCTTTCATATTCTTATGTAAGGTAATGACGAAATATTTTCACGTGTGCGCACTTACATACAAGATCTCTCTCTTTTCTTTACCATTATCGTTAGCTACTTCTATTGTAACATTTATTAACATTAAATAACATTACTTAAAACAACCATATTAATTCTACTACAGCTACAACCAAGGTCTTATTTTCTTCAGTTTTATATGTAGAACCAGTCAGTCACTGGTTTTGTAATCAACGAAAACAATGCTGTGTCATTTCCTCGTGTGTTAATATTCTACGTATTATTAATGAATTGTATTGCTCATTTTGCACACAAACTTTAATTCAATAAAAAAAGACATTCAGTAATAAACAACAATGAATCTTTTGTACATAAGAGAAATGACGCTGTTTACACGATTATGCACGTTGTCTGCACGTTGGCGGGCCGTTCAAACCTCGCGAAATTCAAGTTTCCGCCGTCAAAATTTTTATTTATTGTTGTTGTGTGTGTGTTCCAATAAAATACGTTGAATTCAAACCTCGCAAAATTTGAGAAGCTACTATATGACATTTAACCCTTCAATATGTCTTCAGAGACCATGATGCAGAGAAAGTGGTGCTAGTGCTTCCAAGCATAACCACAAGTCACTATCTATCCAGGAAAAGGGTGAATTTCCATGGTCCGGCACCAGTCAGGTCCTGAGGTTGCCGGACTAGAGATGTACAACCTGTATATTAACCTCATAAGACATAATTCAATTAAAATCTGAATAAACTGGACCCGATCTAACCCATCTTTGGGAAGGAATGAAAAATTCTTAAATAGGGTTGTGCTGATAAGTAATTTGGCTGATTATTAAGAATTTTTAATCTGATTAATCTTCATGAAATTAATGGTACCACAAAGTTAAAGACATCAACTATGTTATTTTTAACTTAGTTTCCCACCATTATAAAGTCTAGTTTTGTGCAGTTGTAACTTGTAACATTTTGTTTTGTACATCCTGATTGTAATTTGTTAGACATTCCCATTTTTCTTGAGCTTTGTGGTCATTATCGATGCTAATATAAATAGTAGTGTGAATAAAATGCACCCGACCACTCGAGCCTTATCCTAACTTCTCGGTAACAGTCTGTTTGGGACCTCAGTGTCTCAATATAATTATAGTTTGTATTTACTTTAAATACCACTTTTTATTTTAATTCTAATAAAAAATACATACATGTTGGTTGTTTTTAAGTAGCACAAAAACATATCCCGAGCTTGCCTGAACAAAACTCTTACAAGAAAACATGACACCAACACCGGATAATCTGAAATTTTTTGGGCTATGTAGACTTAAAGATTGACTGTTGATGTGCTGTAATATAAAAGTTGAAATATTTCACATTTCTTGATTGTAATAAAAGGCAATTTTATGTTTCATTTTCAAAATTTAGATGTGCAACAAAAATTGTTGAATACTATAAAATAAATTTAAAGTTGAATTTTATGTTACTTTGGTTGATTAATCATGATTGATTCTTCATTTGATATCAATGGAGTAACAAAATATTTTTGGTCCAAGTCAGTAAAATGCTTGGAAGTAAAAGAGCTTTTTGTTGTTTATGAAAAAATAGAAGATTTAAGAATTTGTTCTCTTCATTGTTTTCTGTCTCTATATTTTTAATATGTTCCATAATATGGAAAATGGAGTGCAAATAGGAGCACATGAGACTAATATAAATTATGTAATTAATGTACACTTATATAGGAACTTGCTAGAAATCAGAGTTTTGGCTACATCACCATACTAACATTAATACCTTATACTGGTAATATATAACAAAAGAGATAAACTTCTACCAATCGGTCAAGAAACTGATTAATCTATCCTGAGTCACCACATGTCTGCCTGGTACACACCTTACCCTAGTACACCTTGTGCGTGTTCTAGTGTTTGTGTAACGACGACCCAATAACTAATACTTGTATGAAATTAATATAATGTGTAAAAATGGGCAGCAGTATGGTAAGAGAGAGTAGAGGAGAAGCTGTCAAGTGTCACACAATATTTCTCACACTGTGCACATATCAGATACTCCTCAGAGTTACCGAGTTATGAGAAACCAAATTAACAAACAAAAAGATGGACATACTCAAGACTTTATCATCATACAATATTTTGCTTCTGTCAACATGTGAAATTTTAAAAACAACATCACTAACAAAAGCCACAAGAATATCAGTACAGTACACTGTATACAACAATTTAGTTCCACACTAAACTAACAAAACAAATCACTAACATGAACTAACCTTTGTATATTTTTCAACGCAGTTCTGTACACAGTTTTCCTCATTATTACGAATACTGCGAGATGTGAAGTCCCACACACAGTCATTAAAACAGCTTTCACTCAGCTTGTTATATTGTACCAGGAAGTCCCGAAACTGTTTGACTTGAACCTCTGCCTGTATCTGCTCACTCATTGATGACATGTCCATCGTGGCCATCACGCCTTCTGAAGTGAGTACAGTACTGTAGTGTAGTGTATATGTAAGACCATTTTCCACTCATAAAATTACAATGCCACCAGGTATACTTGCCAATGGTGAAAAAACCCTCTGGTGTGCTCTACAATTTGTCCACTAAACTGCCAGACAGTCGTTTGTGACATGTCTCAATTCATTGCTAGAACATCCTTTCATTGGATCAGTTATACACAAATCAGACATTCTTTTTAACATGACCATATGTATCGTATATATACAGTACTGTACTACTTTAGACAACCCACTTGTGAGAAGGGGCAACTTATAAAACAAAGTTCTACACAGTATAGTTCACAAATCATTTTTATTACCTCTACAGGTACTATAACAATAATAATGTGAAGGAATTGCAACTTTTCTAAATTTTGTTTTCCTGTAGTTTTTGTAAGTAGCTTGAACGATTTCATTTTCTGTTATTGTAGGTTGGTTTGGTTAGGTTAGGTTACTTTATGTTACGTTAGGTAAGTATGGTAGTTAGGTTGGTTAGGTTATGTTGGTTCATCTTATTAGATTGTATCCTCGGTTACCAGGAGAGGTGTGTACTATAGGCTGTTAGGCTCAAATGTTGCCAATTCAAAACTGATGATTACAGGGTAAAATTATTTTGTAACCTTTTCTACATTAGTACATTAACATAAGGAAGAATTGACACAAAAAAGGTGTGACATTGGTGTCATTGTTTATGGAAATGTTAAAATTAGCATGTTGACAGATTCTTGTTTAAGCTGAAAAAATAGATAAACAAAACAAAAGCTGCAATCCTTCCATTTTCAAGTGTAGTCTAGAGGTAAGAAAGATTGGTAATTTGCAATAAAGAACAACACAGAATACAGGTAGTTCCTGACTTACGACTGCTTGGACTTATGTCCATCGGTACTTACGACCTGCTCTGACCTTATGACCGCGGCAGTCGTGACCAAAAATATTTTCAAATGACGCGCGCATTTTCTATACCGTTTCTGTCCCGGGCAAGAGCGTGGGTACACTCACTCAGTGGAGCGCTTAGTTGGTGTTTGGCTGTCATATCCTATACTGATTGCGCTGTGAACTTTCGTTATTATCGTATCTAATTGACCTTATAATGACTGGAAGCGTAAAAGTGAGAGTGCTGGTGGTGCTCCGAAGAAAAGGAGACAGGCAATTACTTTTGAGATAAAAATGAAGATAATAACTCAGCATAAGAATGGAAAAACTGTAGCAACAATCTCAAGTGACCTAGGTTTCTCACAGTTGACCATAGCCACTCTTCTGAAGGATGTAGTGATGTAGTAAATGGAACAACACCAATAAAGGGAACTAGAATTTCAAAGAGATGACAAGGTCCTATTCACGATATGGAAAAATTATTGGTGATATGGATAGAAGACCAGATACAGAAGCGTGTACCTTTAAGCCTTCTAACCATACAGGCTAAAGCAAGAAGCCTGCTCCAAAGCCTGAAGGAGCAGGCAGGAGATGAATGTGATCAAACCTTTATAGCAAGTCATGGGTGGTTTAATATATTTAAAAAAAGCTAGTCTACACAATGTTCACATGAGTGGAGAGGCAGTTTGTGCTGATGTCGGTGCTGCCGAAGCTTTTAAGGAGGAGTTATATGAAGTGATTGTGGAAGGGAATTATTTGCCTGAGCAAATATTCAATGTGGATGAGACTGGATTATTGTGGAAGAGCATGCTTCATCCAATTAATATAGTCTCCATGTATCCTGTAAATAGAAAATTATGGGGGCCCCGTGTGCATTCAGCTGACTACATTAAAGGTAAGTGCTCAGTCACACTGTATCCATTCCTTATTATTTATTACTTTTACTGTACTGTATTTCATTGTAGATTTTTTTATTTAAAAAAATTATTTTTTTTCTATTTATTTTTTATCTATGTCGGACTTACGACCTGGATTTGGGTCCCTAACCCCATCGTAAGTCTGGGAGCACCCCGGAAATTCACTACACTTAATCGATAGAACTATTTTTTCTATGATAATTTTGTTATACTGTATTACATCTGGTTAGGTTAGGTAACACTTTTTTTATCAGATTCTTTGGTTGTTGCTGTAATCTGCAATCTTACCGAAAGATTTTCCTAGAGCTGCTCCTCAACATGAGCCAGTTGTCTGGAATATTATCCATATTTCTTCAAATATCATCGGTCTACCATCTAACATTACTACAAACTCTGACATTGATAATCCCCATGTTAGTTTTATGTTGAAAGTTAGTCCACTACCTTTACTGAAACGTTTATCAGTTTAGTGAATTCTTAAACAAATGTTCAAGCAGTTAAATTGTTAACTAGATACTGAAACCTACCTAGCCTAACCTAACAAATTCCCCGTATGACTGAAATTAAAATAATACCATTAACTGCAAAGCAAAATTACAAAAAATTACTATAAACTGCGGTGAATTTATGCTATCACGCCGGTCTTTATTTCCGTATATAAATATTTATCTAGTAATGCTTACACAATTATAAGACATTTTTCTTCTATGATATTTCCACCAGAAATTAAGGATAACCGATATATTAATTTTTCAAGATTATTACTTTCGCTTAGTCACAAGTGTTGCCATGATTTGTTTACTTATGGCGGAGGTGGTCTGACCCCCTGCTCATGCATCGCTCCAGGCCTCCGACGGGGGGTTAGGTTTTCTCGGTTGGTTGGTAATATAATTTATTTATTCTAAAAAAATCAAACCTTTTCCATTAAGATAGTTGGGGGGGGGGGTGTATACGCAAAACACGTGATTTCCGGTGGAAATTAATATCAAATTCGTTCGAAACTCTATTAAAGTACATCGGAAAAACCTATTTTTAATATCAAAATAAAGACCGGTGTGATACTATAAATCAACCTAAACTGTTAAGCAGAAGCACAAGGTATTAAAACTATTAACGGTATTATTTTCTTGTAGTTCCGTTCATTCCTACCACTGATCTCATTATCATATTCGAATAAGACGTCTAATTATAAGATAATTTTCATCTATTACATTACTGGCGGAAATGTATAATAACGGAGATAGGTCTTCCAAAATATTTTCTATTTTCTTCCATTAACATCCCGCCATTATCGTCTGCCTCTCCTGCAACACTGCGTGTCTCCTGCGTCCCCTTCATAAATCATCCTTCGCATGCGTTGCTGTACACGTCACGCGGCCAATCAAAAGCCTTTTTTATTTTTAAACCACTTAAAATATTTTTGGGTTTAATTCGCAGTATTTTTGGCCCAATCAGATTCGAGTATTCTTTTTGGTCTCTCATATTTTGAAATTCAAGTTCAGTTCTGATCATGGAAGTCTGCGATGGGTGTCACTTAAAGTATATGGAGCTGATTGCGAGTTTTTGGAAAAAAAAAAATGAAGAAACTATAACATTTTTTCGATCACATGGTGTTCTTCCAACCTCAGTAAAGTGTACTAAGAGCAAGACGGAATGTAAATATCGCACCAGCATATGTGGCGTTGGGTAAGAATCCTGGAATGCAACGACGAACAAGAACCAGGCCAATACGGTCCGACTAATTACCCAAATGTAGCCACAATGAAGTCAAATAATGGTCCTACATGAATAAATCGGACTGCCAATCACTTCTCGACTAGTATTTGGTGTCACAAAGTCACAAAAAATTGGAAAACTTAATTTAATCTGAGTTAATAGATCGCGTGCATGTACCGAGGGAGCGAGTAATTACCCAAATGTAGCCGCAATGAAGTCAAATGATGGTCGTTCAAGCGTAAATCGGGCTGTGAATCACTTCTCAATTATTATTTGGTGTCATAAAGTCACAAAAAATTGGTAAACTTAATTTAATCTGAGTTGTGTTGTGTTAGGTTAGGTTAGGTTAGGTTAGGTACATGCACTTGATCTATGAACTCAGATTAAATTAAGTTTTCCAATTTTTTGTGACTTTGTGACACCAAATACTAGTCGAGAAGTGATTGGCAGTCCGATTTATTCATGTAGGACCATTATTTGACTTCATTGCGGCTACATTTGGGTAATTAGTCGGACCCAGCCAATAAGGTAAAAAATAGGTGATTCCATCATATGGTGAGTCAGTTAAGTTAGGTTAGGTTATTGTTTTTCTAGTGTTTTTTGTGTATTTTTTAGTAGCTTAGCCACTTTTTTTTCTCGGAAAACGACAAACGAAAAAAAATCGCAAAAAAAAACCGGTTAATTTCTGCCAAAAAGGAAGGTCATATTCGGTCTCAGCACACACAAATACACTTGAAAAATATATTTTTAACTTGCTACAAGTGAACGGTGCTACAAGAAAAATTTACCCTATTAACTCATTGGTATTAATCTAGTTACTCTGATAACTTAATCTCCACTTGGCAGGGCTATAAAATATATACAGTACTACTTTGTCACCTAACATAACCTTAACTTCACCACATCATAGTACAGTAAGTTCTTTCTGTTTAATATACCTGGGAAGTTAGGTAAGGCTGGGTAGGTTTGGTTTGGTTTGGTTTGGTTAGGTTAGGTTAGGTCTGTTCTTCATAACAACAAATGTTAAGTAGCATTTATTTTAAAAATATCCGTTTTTTAACATATTTCCACAAACTACAAGTCAATTATAATAACAATGAAAATCCCGCGTTTTTATAATTGTTTTTAATCAATTTCGCCCGCGGGTAGTCCTATATGAAGTAAATAGATTGGAAACGACATACAGTATATTATAACCTTAACCGAATATTAACCTGAAACTGTAATAATGTGACACTAACCCGAGTGAACGGTATCATTATTTATAAGACACTACATTATTCCTTCACTGGTGGTGACATTATCTCTCAGACTATTACTGTATTGATTTAGGAGCAATTGGAGAAGCACTTACGTGTTATAACAGGTGACTAGTACCAGTAGCAGACGAAACTTAGCACATGTAGGGGCAGTAGTGTTGCCAGAACTGTGTGTGTGTGTGTGTGCTGTACAGTGTGGCCAGGAGCTTTGTGTGTGTGTGTGTGTGCTGTACGGTGTGGCCAGAACTGTGTGTGTGTGTGTGTGTGCTGTACAGTGTGGCTGGGAACTGTGTGTGTGTGTGTGCTGTACAGGTGTGTGCAGAACTGTGTGTGTGTGTGTGTGCTGTGCAGATGGCCAAGGGCTTTGTGTGTGTGTGTGCTGGTGTGTGGGAACTGTGTGTGTGTGTGTGCTGTACAGTGTGGCCAGAACTGTGTGTGTGTGTGTGTGTGCTGTACAGTGTGTGGGAACTGTGTGTGTGTGTGTGTGCTGTACAGTGTGTGGGGAACTGTACATGTGTGTGTGTGTGTGTACAGTGTAAGCAGGCTGTGTGTGTGTGTGTGTGTGTGCTGTACAGTGAAACTGTGTGTGTGTGTGTGTGCTGTACAGTGTGGCCAGGCATGTGTGTGTGTGAAATAACTGTACAGTGTGGCTGGAATTTGTGTGTGTGTGTGTGTGCTGTACAGTGTGGCTGAGAACTGTGTGTGTGTGTGTGTGCTGTGCAATTAATGGCCCAGGAACTTGTGTGTGTGTGTGTGTGTGTGCTGTACAGTGTGGCCCAGAACTGTGTGTGTGTGTGTGCTGTACAGTGTGGCTGGGGAACTGTGTGTGTGTGTGTGTGCTGTACAGGTGTGGCCAGAACTGTGTGTGTGTGTGTGTGTGTGCTGTACAGTGTGGCCAGAACTGTGTGTGTGTGTGTGTGCTGCTGTACAGTGTGGCCAGAACTGTGTGTGTGTGTGTGTGTGCTGTACAGTGTGGCCAGAACTGTGTGTGTGTGTGTGTGTGCTGTACAGTGTGGCCAGAACTGTGTGTGTGTGTGTGTGCTGTACAGTGTTGCCAGGTGTCCTCACACATGACTGTCCACCCACGAGACCCTTTTTTTAGTTAAACAAATTTATTGATAGTGGCAGTGAGAAGTGATACCTATGGGATCAATTGAAATAGAGACCGGGCCAACCGCCAGACTCACAATTAATATATAAGAGAAATATCAATAATATTAGGTTTTTTAACACTTACGTTAGTAGAAGAGATAGCTGGGCACACGGGGATGAGGGGTGGTTCCGAGGCAGAGGGCAGATTATTGGCCCTCACCTGTCTCTCTATCCACCACAGAGGCTAGCAGGGCCTCCTCGTCAAACCCCTCGAGGTCCACATCCTCACTATCACTGACTTGGGCTGGCTGTGGTGGTTGGCGGGTGAAGAACTCGGTGATGTGTTGTTGACGGCTAGCATTGATGGGCTTCATTCTCTCATTTAACTCGATGACTTCCTTCACACAAGCAAGTGTTAGTTTCTGCTCTTGTTGTTCTGTAACACCTCGCTGCTCACTGACGTCATCTTCCAACCTCTCGTCCACACTCACCTCAGGTTGCCTGATTACCTCCAGGATGTCGTCGGTGGTGATCTCGGAGAAGCCAGCAGCTCTAACACCTTGTGCAGCCTCTCTTGCATTCTCCAAAGCCACAGCAACAGACTGAGCCTCGCCAGCCACCGCTTGCCTCTGCCTCCCACCTGGGATACTGTGGGGTATGGGATGTTTGGTTCACACTCAGGATGGGATGGAGAAAGGAAACTCACAATGTGGCCTCTATATACATGTTGTATTGGATGTACAATGCAGCTTGGTGCTGGGAAGGCAGCATGGTTACAAGCGTGATGTAGAGAGAGCTGGTTGGTGAGGACGCTCAGAGAAGGACAGCTTGTGGGTCGCCATGCTCGCCAGCGGGAGAGAGGACCGCCAGGCAGGCGGAGGAGCGAGGACCGCCAGGCAGGCTGAGGTGTTGCTGGCTGGTTGGTGTAGGTAGAAAGAGAGCGAGATCACCACGAGGTCAGGTCTTAAATAGCGGGGGTAGGCGTGGCTTAGCAGTTGACCCCCGCTCCGTGGTGTATGGCGGCGCTGGTTGACCTAGACCACGAGGCATACACTGGGGAATTGGTGGGGTCGGCTAGGCAGCGACAAACAGCGTTTGTAGGGGAGAATTCCACTACAATACCCTCCAACACATGCCGCCACGCGTGCCGAATCGTTGCCACAGACAGCTGCCCCCATGCCTCCACCAAGAAATCAACAGCTTTCTTCACGTTAAACAGTTTCCAGAACTTCTTGACTCGCACTTCATGGTCAGCCAAATCTTGTTCGTGATCCTCGTCCTCGCTCTCTGTGCCACTCTCCAAGTTATGCAATTCATCCTCGGTGTTGGTGAATTGGTTCAGGAGCCGAAACTTCTTGGCGGAGAAAGCAGCCTTCACGTTGCAAATCAACTCCTGATCCATGGGCTGGATTAATGACTTGGTGTTAGCGGGAAGGAAGACCACTTTTACGTTGGGGTGACGATCCAGCAATAGGGGCGAGTGTCCTGGTGCGTTATCGAGGAGCAACAAAATGTTGAATGGAACACTATTTTGCGTGCAGAATTTCTTTACATCAGGAACGAAACAGTTGTCAAACCAGGAAAGGGACAGACCAGAGAACATCCACGCCTTCCTTGAGGTTAGCCAGTGGACATTTAACTTGCTCATGTCCATATTTTTGTATGCATACGGCTTGCGGGCTTTGTGGATGACAGCCAACTTCAGCTTAGCAGTGCCGGAGGCATTGGTGGTGAACAGTACGGTGATGAGCTCCTGCATTTTGCGCCCCCGACACTTGCTAGCAGACTTGACTACGAAGGTCTTTGATGGAAATTTCTTCCAGTACAACCCTGATTCATCCATATTGAACACTTGGTCGTCGGTGTACTGGCCTCCCTCCATAATTTTCCGTAAAAATGAGGGAAAATTCCTGGCGGCAGCCCGGTCGGCACTTGCTCCTACTCCGACTATCTCAATATTCGTGATCTTGTTGCGTCGTTTAAAACCTTGCAGCCACGTAGCGGAAGCACTGAAGGGCTTGGGCTCCGCAACACTCATTTTTCTTGCTACTGCTGTGTAGAGTTCCCGGGCGTAGCCCCGCAGTGTCCGAGTGTCGACCGCCTTGTTCCTTCTTGACTGACGAATAATGTAGCTTGCCAACAAACTCTCGGCCTTCAGCAGCACCTTATTTTGGCAATATTTCACCAGCGAGGCACCTACAGACTTGGTAATGTTCTTGTGATCATTGATTTTGCCGGCATACTTCTTGATAGTGCGGATCGTCGATTCATTCACTCCATATCGTCTGGCCAGATCCACCTGTCTCGTGCCTTTTTCTAACTCATGGACGATCTTGTACTTTACCTCACAGCTTAAGGCGCGTCGCACCTTCTTGGGCTTGGGGCGGCTTGGGCCAGGTAGTTCAGGGCGTCTCGTGGGTGGTGGGGGTCCAGCGGAAGCCATTGTGTAGAAAGAAAAAACAAAGCCGGTTCCTGGGCACGAGTGAGTATACGCAGGGACAGTGAGACTGACCCAGCAGTAGAGAGCGTGAGTGGTGGGGGTGGCAAGGATAACTGGACCAATTACAGCGCGCGGCGGAGGGGGTGCGTGGGAGGTAAGGATGCGTGGCCCATTCACAATCTGCGACGTCACCAGCGCGAGTCTGACGTCAGCCCCCAGCACCTTGCCCTGTCGCTTGCCGTGTATATGGTGACATTTACCGTGTAAATCATAATCATCTCTTCTGACAGGAGCACCTTAGCTTTCGTCTTTATTTAAAACATCTTCAGAAGCAACTGAATTACATGGACGGAGAGAGGCTTAAGTACACAGGGTGACCTTATTAAACATGAGGTCAGGTCATAATTATGACATCCACATAAACACACGTATGTATACATTTACTCATACACATACCTACACATATATACATAGCTTGATAAAATCACACGGGAAAATGGAAACAACGGAGTACCTTAGCTTTCGTCTTTATTCAAGACATCTTCAGAGGTCTCTGAAGATGTCTTGAATAAAGACGAAAGCTAAGGTACTCCGTTGTTTCCATTTTCCCGTGTGATTTTATCAAGATATATCTTATCCACGTTTTCATTGTGGATTTACATGAAATATATACATAGATCAGATTCATGTGGGTGATGTCACTGTTCACTGCCATGCAGGACAGTGTCATGATAGTGATGACGGCTAACCTGAAAACCTTAAGGATTCATATTACGCTCAAACGTCCACAAAACCTTCCGAGTCCCCCAGTGGAAACGTCCCCCGTTTTCTCTGTTTCCTTGATGACGTCATCGATAGGCCGTCTTTGTCTAAAGGGAACTTTGAATATAATACGCGGATTTCGTAGCAAGACGGTGTATGTTGGGACCTGTTGCCATCCAACCCCTTGTAAGCAATTTAATTTTGCTTTTGATAGCTCAGCCAGAGAATGGACATAAATTCACTAGAGTCGGTGCAGCGAAGAATGACAAAAATGATTCCGGGACTTAGAAACCTTCCATATCAGGATATGGTTAAAGAAACTTAACTTGCATTCGCTAGAAAGACGAAGAGTGCGGGGAGATATGATAGAAGTATTTAAGTGGGTGAAAGGAATCAATAAAGGGGATATAGATAAAGTTCTTATAATATCCGAGCAGGATAGGACTCGGAGCAACGGATTCAAGTTGGATAAGTTTAGGTTTGAGATAGGAAGAAACTGGTTCACAAATAGGGTGGTGGACGAGTGGAACAAGCTTAGCAACTTTGTAGTAAGTGCTGGAACTCTGGAAAGTTTCAAAAGGAGGCTAGACATATTCATGGATGATAGAGAGTGGTAGTGTCTCTCGACAGGAGCTGCCAAGCACAGGCCAACCGGCCTATTGCAGACTCCTTATTTTCTTATGAAACGGAGTTCATAGTCTCAGTTTCAACGTCAGAGTGTACAGTACATTAATTCATCGAAATAGAAGTAGGTGGACTCCCTGACCTATTTTGAGTGAGGGTGCCGCGGGCATTTCAACTGTTAGTAAGTGCTCGCCCCTTCACCCATACAGGTAGGCCATTCCACTCTGTGTTGTAATTCGCCCTTCTTTAAGTGATTTGACCCAATTGATAGTTGATTGTGCAAGTGTTACAGTAACGTAGTTGATATGCTCTGAGTGAAGTCATATTTACGTCTTTAACGTCCCCTGAAATGTGATGTCGTTGTCACTGTTAGTAAGTGCTCGCCCCTTCACCCATACAGGTCCCTAACGCAGCCTAGGCCGTGTCTGTAGCGTGGATGGTGTAGCCACTATGTCTGGGGGAGATGTCCGAGATCCAGTTACCTTCGTGAGACCCGACCATCAGACACTTCAGACTACCTATGGCCCCCATAGCTGGCTCGTCTGGCTATTTGTGTGGTGGGATTAATCCACAGGGATCAACAGAGTTCGTCGGAAAGTACCCCATAGTGGCAGGACCCCATGGCGGTTGCTTAATTATCACTCCTGACGACTGAGTGTTGTAGTGGCAGTTGCCCTGGTCTTTATGGTGCTAAGTGACTATAAGAGTTATGTCTTATTGAGTATGTCCACCCAGTAGTGGTGTGAGTATGTTGAGCCTGAGGGCATAGTACCAGATTTCGTCTGTTGGTACATATATTCTGTCTCCTACCTCCATATTAATGTTTAAATAAATTTTGTATTTGTATATTGTGTCTATTATTTACCTACAGTAGCTACCGTTATTTCTTCCCTATTACTTGATACTATCATTACATATACCCACGAGCCTCCTCTCGTCACGCTACCATTACCAATGATTATAAGTTTTAGAGTAAAAATAATTGTTACTGACACACAGTCCCTTATAACAGAGATTCGTACACAAAGAAATACATCATATTCATTGACAGTATATATAGGTCAGAGTGATGTTGTAACGACCACGGTCGGACATGTTATTTAGCGTAAAATCAGACGATTCATAATACGCTCAATAACCCACAAAACATGTAGCTATGCCTTCTTTATTGGGTCTCCCCTCTGAGGCGTCCGTTTTCTCATCGCTTCAAGACGCCTGAGTCCTCTGTTTTTCCATTTTCTCTGACTTCCTGAAACCAACCTCTCTATAAAGTAAATCTGAAGGTGAGAGAGAACAACATTGTTTTGAGTCAACGTAAATGTGTCTGATTACAGTTAAAGCATACAAGATCCTGTGTGAGTGATGTTGAAAGCTTTAACTGCCTTTATTGTTCGTAACACTTGTTAAGTGATTGTCGAGTCTGCCAGTAGGAATGTAAACTTTTATCCTCTTCGCCACTGATCGGCTTGTTAGCCGCTTGGGCGATCGGTCACGTCTCTTTTCATTGGAAAATATAAGCAGAGAAATATTAGAGTAACTTATATTAGAATATAAGCAAGGATGTATAAGAATAAGAATATATATAAAGTATTGAAGAATAAAAGGACTAAGTCTGAAATAATATGAAGTCAGGAAATCGCGCACTTACAATGTGGGTGAAGTTGTGGGGTATGAGATGTTTGGTTCACACTCAGGATGGGATGGAGAAAGGAAACTCACAATGTGCTCTCTGTATACATGTTGTATTGGATGTACAATGCAGCTTGGTGCTGGGAAGGCAGCATGGTTACAAGCGTGATGTAGAGAGAGCTGGTTGGTGAGGGTGCTCAGAGGAGGACCAGCTTGTGGGTCGCCATGCTCGCCGGCGGGAGCGAGGGCCGCAAGGCAGGAGGAGGTGTTGCTTGCTGGTTGGTGTAGGTAGAAAGAGAGAGTGGTCACCACGAGGTCAGGTCTTATATAGCGGGGGTAGGCGTGGCATAATAGTTGACCCCCGCTCCGTGAAGTATGGCGGCGCTGGTTGACCTAGACCACGAGGCATACACTGGGGAATTGGTGGGGTCGGCTACTCAGCGACAAACAGCGTTTGTAGGGGAGGAATCCACTACAATGTCACTGTTCGCTGCCATGCAAGACAGTGGTTCATATACATTGGAAGTCATATTCTAATTGAAGACTAATCAGTGTGGGCTAGCAGATTTGGGATAAACAGCAAGAATGTCCCTAAGCACTTGTCATCCCATTCAATTTTTTGTTTTTTACTTTTATCCTCTTCGCCACTGATTGGCTCGTTAGCCGGTTGGGCGATCGGTCAAGTCTCTGTTACACACTGTTGGCAAGTACTGGGCATGTACCGGCTCCTGAATGTACTTGAACCTGCTCCAGTGTTGGTCAAGTCTGGTGTTGAAAGAGCTCACACTCGGTGCCGTCACAACACTCCCCAGCAGATTGTTCCAAAAGTTAACATTTCTCTCTCCGAAAAAGTTTGCCCTCACAGTTATCTGGACTTTTTTTTTTTTTTTCAACCTTGGCGGACGCCCGCCCGTCCGCCAGTTTCAGGTACGTACACTTGACTGAGTAGTGCCCTCTGAGATGTTTATACACTTCAATTAAGTCATCCCTTTCCTGTCTGTAGTTGCAGGTGTTCTAATCTCTCTGGGTAGCTGAGGTGCCGTAGTGAGTTAACGGGGGATCGGCTAGTCAGCGACACACGGCGTTTGTAGGAGAGGAATCCATTACAATACTCCCCCTTCCCTCCGGGCAGTGCAGGAGACTTGTTGTCGGCAGGGTTGTATCCCACATGCGAGACATAACGGGCGGGGGTGTGGATGAGCCGGCCGCTACGGGAGACGACTGTCTCGAGACACGAGACCTGTGGGAGAAGTAGAGGGAGGACTAGGTGTGAGGATAAGAGAAGGTTTTACAGGTGAGGAATGTGGTGCTTCTCTCGCAGTGGGTACACAGTCCTCAGTGGGGTGTCTGGGTCCGCGTCAGGAGCAGGGGCCACGTCGGGAGGAGGGTCCATCATCCGTCCATGACAGCAGGATGGTGCAAGACAGGCGCAGTGGGTACCTGAGGAAGAAAAGAGGGTGCCCAGAAATGTTGTGGGCGAGGTGGTGCTGCAAGGGGCAATTGTGGGCAGACTGGCAGAGGAGGTGCGGGATGAAGGTGTTCAGGGCAGTGGGAAGGCTGGCGTGGGGTACATACATACATACTAATATATATATATATATATATATATATATATATATATATATATATATATATATATATATATATATATATATATATAGTTACGCCGTCTCTTAATTTACTTAAATATCCAGGTTCTAGGCGTAACCAAACAAAAAAAAGTGAAGTAAATTAAAAGGGAATAAAAATAAATAAAGTAAACCTTTAAGAATTTAATTAATTAAATATTAACACAATAAAGAGCCTCGTAGGCTGTCACAACAAATTGATTCACCATCGAAACTTTTAAGACACAAATGATACTAAACATCGAAACATCAAAAGAATAAAAATAAAGCATTGGATTACGTTAACACTGCATAAACATACAAAACTAACACTGAAATTAACTAACGTGAAACAACACTGAATTACTTAAATGTAACGAAGCAAATACTGATGGACACAAATAGAGACATAAATAGGTACTCACATAGATATACCACATTGGTGGCGACAGGAACAACACAAATAAATTAAGTATAAGTAACAGGTGACGAGTGTCACTCAAAGGATGTGAACTGTATGACAAGAGGACTGAACTGACTGGTGGGTCCTATATATAAGGTCGGCTCCCGCCACGCGACCCGCCGGTGGGTCGTTTAACGATGCAGATGGTCGTTAGAGAACAAATAATGCTGGTTACAATACAAAATAAAGAAATAAGATGGGCTTGAACAAATAATGACAGTTAAAACCTTAACAGCACAGGGTAAGGTGACTAGATTATATCATAGTAAATTTAACACATCATTACAGGAATAATATGGAGCAACATGGGAGCATGTTATATAAAAAAAATAGAAAAATACGACACGGTCGTAACAATATATATATATATATATATATATATATATATATATATATATATATATATATATATATATATATATATATATATATATATATATATATATATATATATATATATATATATATATATATATATATATATATATATATATATATATATATATATATATATATATATATATATATATATATATATATATATATATATATATATATATATATATATATTCGAATTCATCTTTTATTACCCATATAATTTAATTTCGCCATATTAATATTCAATAAGAGTTGCTAATTTAACTTGTGTTCCCTGAGGCCATTGTTCCCGGGGTGACACGTCGTCGTCTGCACGGTCGGTGAAACACCTTTAACACTTCTGTCGTCATTAAATATTTCGCCTATTAAACCCTCCTCATTGTACAATAATCTGTAATAAAATATGATAATATGATACCAAAGTTATTTAAATATTATTGTTAATTCTTACACAGTGGTGGATATTGAAGATGAGGGTGATGGTAAAGATGTGGTGCCTGAGACGGAGGAGAGAGTGACAGACGAGAGGCGACGATGGCGGACGGTGGAGTCGAGGAAGCTATCCAGGCACCCATCCTGGACAATGTGACGGAGGCGGCGACCAACGGCACAGGCAAGGTGCCCTCCACACCCGAGGGGATGGCCCTGGCCTACGGCAGCCTGGTGGTCATGGCTCTCATCCCAATCTTCTGCGGCGCCTTCAGATCTGTGAAGCATCAACAGCAGCAGAAGGTAAACAGCTGCTCCTGTAGGTGCTGGCCTGCCACAGCTCTAGTTACTGTGGTTGGTGTATTAATATAGGGAGGTTAGCGTCTGTACGGCTGTCCCAGGATATATATATATATGTGTGAGTGACGTGGAGGTCTGTTGTACTATTTCTTGTTATTTATTGAGGTAATTGGCACAGGTGTGTTGGCACAGGTGTGATTAACGGCTTCACCTTAAAACAGACTCTTAAGTGTCTTTATTAATGAAATCTTTTCTTTATGTACAAAGTTGTTACTGCAATTTTACCAATATTTTTATACTTAAATCAGACCCTTGAGTGAAGTAGTGACAGTGACCCTCACACTTGCTGTTCTCTGTATGTTTCCCTCTACAAATTGTTATGTAACTTGAGGGATATTTATAATGATGTCATCCAGAGTACAGTATGGGGTCATAATAGCCTGTCCTTGAAATATTCCCAAACAAAGAAGTCTGGTGATGGAGGCAGAAGAGTTGGTGGCACCATCATCTTGTGCTTCTGTAAGGCAGTGTACAGTAGCTGATGGTGGAGCAGGCAGTTAGCACCAGAAGGACTTTATGGAATTACACCAAATTTTCAGGGAATGTTCATATGTTAGTGAACAAGAAAATTGAAACAATAATGCACAGAACCTATTAGAGCCTTACCTAACCCACTAACCTGAGCATTGGCTTTAAGATTTTCTTACTTATTATCATTGTCTAAAATGTGCTGAATAATGCAGCAGCCAGCCACTGTACATCCATCTCACACAGATATCATCGTCCAACTGGCTGTGAACGCTGATTAGTGCATGGGTATTACGTCACATTAGCACTCACGGTAATTGGTCAAATATAAAATATAAATAAATCGAAAACTATAAATTTCCAATGGAAATGTTAGAGGATAAATTATTTTTATTCTCTTCTCTCTCTCTTCATATATGACTCAATATTCAGTTAGCTGGTGGCAACCTCTAAATATTACCCGTCATAATTACGGTAAATAATTTGAATTTCTTTGGTTACGAAGGACGTACGGACGTGAAATTATTGCCATGTGATCAGTGTTCACTGTTTTTACCCTGTTATTTCCCTCTTCTTTCGTGCCCACCAACAGGTAATTTATGATCAGAAGGACAGACTAAAGGTAAAAACAATACTACAATGTTGTTGTTTTGATTACATTACTCGGTATGACCCAAACAACAACTGTGGAAAATATGAACGAACTAAATCGATGCATTCGGGTGTTAACCATCTGCTGCACCTTTACCCAGATAAGTCAATGAACTGTTGGTGAGCATCGTCAATATTTTATTCCAACCTCATAAGAACACGGCAAGAGAATCACTAAAACAGATAAAATTAACCTAAACAAATCCAACCTAACCTAACCCATCTAACCATAATCCAACCTAACCCAATGTAACCTAACCTAACCCATCTAACCAAAATCTAACCTAACCCAATGAAATCTAACCAAAATCCAACCTAACCCAATGTAATCTAACCAAATCCAACCTAACCTCCTTTACCACTGATACAAACACTTACTGTAATTATAACACAAGGTACTGTAGCTGATGCCTGTATTAATAGTCAGGTTTATATGATGGCAGTCCTCCATGAGTGGCCTCGGATTATTTAGTGAGATAGAGGCCGAGATTATTTGCCAATTAAAGAATATCTATTTAGTAGTATTGTATTGTACTGAAATTTGATGATAAAATTAAGGGGTTAGAGCCCCAAATTCACCTAACAATGCTTAAAATGTTTACTATGGGGATAAAAACAGTCACAATACTGTAGTATATACATAAACCTGCCTCTCACTGACCCATCGTCCCTCAAATTCAACTTTAATGATGGATGAAGGTTGTCCACATTAACCAGCAACTTAAGGACAGTTTTCATAGGAAGATAAATGCTTTTCTACCTCATGAAAACTCCCAAAGATGGGAAGGAAGAAGTTTTTCCAAATATTTTCACTATTTTTCTCTGAATGAAAACAAAATCCGTCCTGGATTTAAACATTGGTTGTGTTGTGGCGGCCGTGTGTATGTTTGAGGCAGAAATTGTTTTTTCTGAGGTTGTGCAGTTGTCATCCAGTACAGTGGTCCTCGGTTAACGAACACAATTCATTTCAGAAGGTCATTTGTTAACCAAAACCATTGTTTCAATGGGATTTTGGGTAATTGGTTCCAGCTCACCAAAAATTACATACAAACTAAAAATAAATGCAGTAAAGTACACTTACTTTGAGATGTGCATGTAGAAGGCTCCTGGTTGATGATGATGAGAATTAGAAGTGGGGGTGGAGGAGAAGGGAGAAGAGAAGGAAGTGGGGGTGGAAGAGAAATCACCCCATGCTTGATGCCGTCATTTCACCAATAAAATTTTAAGTTCACTTGGTGTAATTCAAGATTATTTTCTTTAAATCAACACTGCACTGCACTATATATTGTCAAAATGTAAAATAAATTTCAGAATGACCAATAATTGTACTGTAAAATTAGTTTATGTTCAAGAGAGCCTCAAGCAAGATGCTTCCTCCACTGAGCAGAGACACAACTGGCGCCATTCTGGGCGAGTCAAGTGGCTGTTTGGCGCGCTAAAAACTAGTTCCCTGTACTTCAATTATGTTAAATAATTGTCAAAATGACTAAAAAATTTAATATATGAATTGGAAAATTATTGAATAGTACAACCTTTTTGATATTTACTCAAATGGTAACGAATTTAAGCCCTAAAATCGATTACTGTATTGGCGGACTAATACTACAGCAGACGAAAGCAGGCGAAAACATGTTGGGAAAAATTCGTAAGGAATTCGTTAACTGAATTGAACATTCTTATGGAAGGTAATTCGTTAACCGAGGGATCACTGTACTGTGTGTACAACTGACCTAGTTCCTGATGTTGCAGGTCTGCCTGTGTCAACATAACTGCTGTATAATAATGGTGTTTCCTGGGCACCTGAATAAACCTCAAATTAATTTATGGGTTTCTTGCTTCCTCCTCTATCATTTGACCACTTTTAACACCACAACCAACCATCATCTGTGGCAGCCTCCCCAGTGAGTTGCACTGCATAGCTTGATGAAGTAATGAAGCCAGCCTTGGTTTACTAGCAGGCTTGTCATCTCAAGCTGCTGTACTGTACTTTACCAAGCTTAAATTTTCATTGCCTCAGCCAGAATATAGATCATTTAGCGCAGCTCTGTGTTGCTGCATGTTAACTGTCCAGATCTTCAAAGGGGGTATGCCCATTTTGTCACCAACCTGTTTTGTCACAGTGTTCATTCCCATCAATATACACAGGAAAATAACTGTTGCTTAAGAACATAAGAACATAAGAAAATAAGGAGTCTGCAATAGGCCGGTTGGCCTGTGCATGGCAGCTCCTGTCGAGAGTTACTACCACTCTCTATCATCCATGAATCTATCTAGCCTCCTTTTGAAACTTTCCAGAGACAATATTGTGGTGAAAGACTAAAATAAAAATATTGTTAATATGCCTGCAATCATCTCACTTAAACAGCATGTGAAAGACACGACAGGCTATGTGGCCCCGTAATATTTACCAATGGTTAATCAAAGCGCCTAGTTTACAAAATTGTATTACGAAATTATGCTTCGGCATAATATATTGGATCATTCAAGCATCTCACTGAGACAATTATTAAAGACGAAAATAAAAACGTTATTAGGTACTCATGAAAGCATCTTACTTAAACAATTTATTAAAGACTAAAACAAAATTATTTATTTTTTAATACGTCTGTAATTATCTCACTTAAAATGTGAAAGACTAAAATTTACTCATGCAATCTTGGCAGAAGACAATGACAATTTTTTTAGGAAATTAGAAGTGGTTATATTAGTCTTCATATTAATCCCACAGCTTCCAGAGGTGATCTTGCTTGTCATGATTTGCTTTTCTTGTGCTCGATTTTAGCTTGTGCTCAGCAACTAGTTGTAATTGCAAATCAACCATTGAGGGTTTCTCTGTGAAGAAAGGGGTAGAGCAAGATTGTTCGTTGCTGCTCGCTGGTTTATGCGCTGGTGCCAAATCACCTTCATTTGTTCTGTATTTGTTTATTTACCATTGTATAATAATTTTCTTTATTAAATGATTGATATTCATGTATAGTAATAATATCATCACAATACTCTTCAAGTCGTCTGTATACATGTGTAATTTCTATTCTTGTAAATTAATAACTTACAATTTGTCACTAATACCGGCGACTTTTAGTGGTGACAAAATGGAGTGTATCCCTTCACAGTAACCTCCGTGTTTGGCTCCTGTACAGTGATGAGCTCAAATGCTGGATGGTCTTGGATGTCTATGTATAATGTTGTACCAATTGTGCCAGCCTTCAGTCTGATACTGTACTGTACTCTACTTTGCTTTCATTAACCAGCTTGTTCATGCCACAATTGAGGTACTTCACAGTCAAGGTCATTTAAAATTTAAATTTTCTTGTCCAAATAAAATATCTGTTCTCTTTTTCTCACTTGAACTAACTGGAATAAGAAACAGCTGTTGAGCATTTAGACTCCTTGGTAAGTGGTGCATGTGGTAAACTTAAGAGGAATTATGGGAGTACACGTACTGTACTGTACTGTAAGAGGAAGTGTATTTAACATTGACTCAACACTAGCTGAGTGATGTAGTGCCTGCAGCTGGGGAAGTGTACACATACAAGTAGTTGTGTTGGTGCAGCAGTTGATTTAGAATGTTTTCAGCCTGGCTTCATTACCAGGACAGTACCCCCTAAGAGGTCTAAATACAGTAAGTCCTCGCTTAACGCTGGGGTTACGTTCCTAAAATTGCGACGTTATGCGAAACAACGTTAAGCGGATCAATTTTCCCTGTAAGAAATAGATAAAATACAGGATTTACTTTCCCCAGCCTCCCTTTGACCCATGAAAAAAGTTATATATACAGAAAATCATTGCTATTTCTATAGAAAATAATGCATGCATATACAACT